ACAATCCTAGCAGGATCCTGGCCCAGCGAGGGGTGAAGAGCAGGAGTTTGGAGAAGTTTACCTAGTAAAGAGCCAGAAGAAGGGGGCTGGGGATGTGGCTCAAGCGGTAGCGCGCTCRCCTGGCATGTGTGCGGCCCAGGTTCGATCCCCAGCACCACATACCAACAAAGATGTTGTGTCCGCCAAGAACTAAAAAATAAATATTAAAAATTCTCTCTCAAAAAAAAAAAAAAAAAAAAAGAGCCAGAAGAAGAAAGGAAGAAAAGGGTAGGGAGAGACAAAAGCTATAGCCACAAGCATCCCTTATGCTTCATAAAGAAACAATTTTATAGTGCTAGTGGACCTAAGTATAAGCATAGATAACTATATATCAAAAACCCTTAAGGCAAATTCTAGACAAATATACAGATGCATAAAGATCTATGGTATTAGATTTGAAGAAAGCCCTGTTTATAAGTGACAAAATAGGTTTTTCTTAAATTTAATATGGCTTTGTTAAACAAAATTTACTTTATTCATGAAATGATTTGGCATTTATTTATATAGAAATTTACTGAAAAGGGATAGGCAAAGTTCAAAACATTGTATATTTATTATAAGACAACACATAAAACACAAGACCCTATTTTTGTTTCAAAATGCATTTTCTTACCTGTTTACATAGATATATGTTTATTTATAAAGAAAGAAAGTATTTTCCAATATATGCATTAAAATGTTAAGAGCTGGGAAAAGATGGAAGACATGTTTTTTTTTTCTTTTTGTCTATTTATATTTTCTTATGTTTCTATTAAATGATATATAAAACAAAACTAAAATTCTATRCAACTCAGTTTTATGCATTCAAACCTAGTTTCAAGTAATCCATTCCAAATGAGCATGGTCCTGGGAGGCAGTAACTTTCAAAATGGTGGCAACAGGTTGATTGCCACTAGTTAAACTAGTTAACATAGACTATGCGACTTGATTTTTAAAATGCTTTGTCCAGGAATCTCAATGGGCCACACCGACTTGCAGGAAATGTTTGGGTACAAAGCATTAGCAATGTTTCTCAACATGCAGATCTTGCGCCATTATATTACATTCCTTGAGGAGCTTGTTAAAATGCAGATTTCCTGATCTCATTATAGACATTCTGATTTAGAAATTTTGGAAGTAGGTTAAGGAACTGGCATTTTCAATAAGTTCCCAGGGGATTTTTCTGTACACTGAAGTGTGAGAACACTTGTTTTAGAAAGTGTAAAGTTGGATCAGTACAAGAGGGAAGTGATCAGGCTGCCAATAGAAACTGCTAGTGTCCCAGTGCCTTTATATTACAATCATCATTAATAACACAACTCTTTTGTCTTTTGTCTATGGTCACTAATCATAAAATTATAAGCTTATCATCAAATATTTGAAAATGGAATAATTTTACTACATGTGGGGCTTGATACTCTTTTCCCAGTAAAACACCCTCTAACTTGTCAGGCATCAAATTCACGTTATATAATCTATTCTAGGGTCATATCTGTGTTGCTAAAACAACAGACTTGAAAGTATAGATAGTTCTGAAAGAAATAGGAAAGGACAATAAAGAAGCAGGGAGAGAAGGGAAAGAAAATTTCATAAATATTTTGCTAGGTAACAACTAAGTACTAACTGCAAGCACTTTTAATTTTTAATTTTTTTTAGTTGTAGTTGGACACAATACCTTCACTTCATTCATTTGCTTTCTTATGTGGTGCTGAGGATCKAACTCAGTGCCTTGCATGTGCTAGGCGAGCTYTCTACCTCTGTGCCACAACCCCAGCCCTGGCAGGAACTTTTATAATCAGAAAATTCCATCAAGGTTATTCTCTAAATGCTTTAAAACATGATTTTAATATACCATAGTTCAATTCACAAATTATTTTTTAGGAAATCTACTTGAGGTGTTTTCTATTATTCTAAAATATTAGTAGAATAATTATTAAATTAAGAAATGAAAGTAAGGTGAATCCCCCCTTCAACTATTTACTTAGACAATGAGTGATTAGAAGTATGTAATGGAAAACAGTGAGTAATAAAGAAAATAATAGAAAAGTGTTAATGGAATAAAATGAGTCAAGCTGAATTCTGATAAATCTTTATTATAAAGATACTGAATAGTTTCTTATTGGGAAAAGCAAAAATCTTGACTGCCTGCYATTAGTACTTTTAAAGTACTTGAAAATATGGAGAAAGAAACTCAGCAAAACATATAAATTAACTTACCTATTCAGTTATTTCCTTCGTTATTTTCTGTGGTGTCCTGTTATTTAAAAGAAACCTGTAATACAGGAGAGCCATAGCATACCTGATTTCAGTTCTATAGAATATAACTTAGTTTTGTTTTACATCAGCTTGAGGCATAATTTACATACAAACAAATTATCCTTATTAGTTGTATTGTTCTATGAATTCTGACAAACATGTACAGACAAATATCATCATCACAATCAAGACATAGAATATTTYCATCACCCTAAAAATTCTCTAAGCCCTTTTCAGATATTACCCCATTCTCAGCACCAGCTCTTGACAAACAATGGTCTGATTAATGTTATATTTATCAGAAGTTCATGCATTTTTATGGCTGGTCAGCTTTCCATACAGAGAATGTGTTTTGCTTGTATATGTTTATACCCAATATCTGGGTACCTCAGGCCCAGACCAAATGACACCTAAAAATGACAACACACAGAAACATCCAGAACAATGTTTTACTACATGTTTTGGCACAGTGGCCCTGTCAAGTTGAAACATAAAATTAACCCTCACAATCACCTAAACTGAATCTGATATCAGTAAGTTTTCTTTATTTCATCCAGGAATTTTTTTGTTGTTGAAAATTTTATGATAAGAATTATACTTTTCAAGTTATTTTAGAAAAAGATGAGTCTTTGAGTCTAATAACAAGATCATCAGAATTGATCAAAATTAGCCATATGAATCCAGAGGCTGGATGTTATTTAACTTTCCAGCATCACAACCCTCTTGTGTTTGGGCAGTCTGCCATTGATGCATTTAGATGTGAGCCATTGTCTCATCTCCCACCAAAAAGATGAGGCACTTTCTCCCTGTGATTCTTGGCAGCTGGATATAACCTAAAAGCTGTTTATTGGATGCTCCTGTTCAGTACTTTTATCCTGAAGTAAATGACACAGAGAAGAAAATTTAGAATTTATCTTGACAATTGACGGCTGAAGCTCATTACAGGATCTGGAACTGAGGATGATGGTAGTAACAATGGTAGATGATGTCTACTGTAGAAATGACATCATAACCAGGTTTCTTACATGAAGACGTTCAACAATGGTTCTACTCATCTTACATCAGTTGATTCCTGTCAATTTCCCAGGCCTATTACTCTGGCTTTCCCACTAATTCTTTCCCACCAATTCCCTTCAAATGCATTCATTTTATGCTTATGATAACCAGAATTGGCCACCAAGAACACTTTCCAGGCAATAATCTTGCCTAGAAAGTTTTATGGGAAGGTATTTTGATACATTTCATAAAGTAATTATAGCATAAGTAGGGTCATTTTGATGTCAGAAAGTTTGGATTAATCTTGGGACATACTTACTTGTGTACACTCACATCAGTTATCCACAATCCAGACAAATAAGTTTCCCTACTATTATGGGCTGAATTATTCTCCCTCAAAACTCATATATTTAGCCTTAATATCCAATACTATAAAACATGATTGAATTTGGCGATAGGTACTTTAAATAGGAAGTTATATTAAAATGGCATTGGTAAGAGACAATAGACAACACAGAGAAATGACCATGTGAGGACACAGTGAGAAAGGGTCTATCTGCAAGCTTAAGAGAGACCTCAGAAGAAACTAACCCTATCAACACTTTAATCTTGGACTTTTAGCCAATAAATTTCTGTTATTTAAGTTTCTCAAACCATGGTATTTTGTTGTGGCAACACTAGAAAACTAATACACTTGCCTAATAGTTTTGTAAAAGGAGATATTTGTATGTGAACAAATACAGGTAAAAATAGAGGGGTAAGCTTTAAGTTAAAGATGACAAAGGATAAATGTAGAATTACATCAGAGGAGTTAGGAAAATTCTATATAAATTTAAATACTATTTATATCATATTTTTAAGCAACTGGGTGAATTGATTAAGAAGAAATGAAAATGAGTTTGACTTAAGCTACTATTATGAATAAAAAGGTCTTTACACAGAATAAAAGCAAACTATAAAGCAACTAATAGGGGAGTAAACAAGACTCAATGTCCTGTCTTTTTTTAACGTTTTGTCTGGAAAAAAGTTTTCTAACTTACCAACAAATGTAAACACATTTGTTGTTTATTATTATTATTATTATATCAATTGCATATACAACTAATGTCGAACTATTCCCACAAAGCAAGGTGGCCAATCCCAATGACCCCAGGTCATTATACCAAACATCCAGTGAAGAAGAATTGCTACCCAGCACAAATCAGGCCAGAGTTCATTGTGAAAAGGTCAATGCCCTAGAAAATGTGAAAACTTTACTTCAGAAAACAAGAGTTAGTAGCACTAAAAAAAAAAAAAAAAAAAAAAAATGCAGTCTCTTTGGTTGTACAAACCCAGATGGAAGTTATTATTATCTTAAGGAGGATACAGTAATCTCTTGGCACACAGTAGTGAAAATTTTGGATAAGGAAAACAAGTTCAATTTAAAAAGAGAAAAAGAAGGCAATAGCAAAAGATCACCTAGCACAATCTAACCTCCACTACTGCRGAGTAATAGCTATCCTGAACTATTAGCATTTCCTGTCCATGTTCATATGAAAAAGATGAATCACCAACCATTTGTGATTGTGTTCAAGTCCTTTCAATTAATACTACAACATTTGCACATTAACATAAGAACAACAGATTACAGCATTTAAATTTGTTAACTACAAATTCAATAGTTTTCCAATTAAACCTTTCCAAAGTGTATGTGTAGTTTCCAAGGAATGTTCTCATTTTTCCACCTATGGTCTAAAATAAGAATCTAGGATTCACACAAAATTGAATATCAATTATCTGTGGGGTCATGTTATAGAGGAAAATTTCTCCTTGCTAATAAGGCTTTGATGTTATATACTGTAATGAACTTTGAAGCATTTAAAATTTCATCCTTCTTGCAAGTTAATAAGTTAAACTGCTGTAGATTCATGGTTGTTGGCAGAAGTCACTAGAATCCTGGGTCAGAGACCAAGTACTTTATTATTTACAGCATAACAAACAGCATAAGCGTCTGCATATTTTCATCAGTTTCTTTTGTCCTCATATCCCATGGACTCAGATGATGCTTGCATGATTGGTGGGTTGCATTGTGAAAAAGAAACCTAGAACCAAGGACAAAAACTTGTAGAGCAAGCAGCAAACAAGTCAGTCTCCCTTACCCCAATAGTGAGTGGTTACACAATAGCRTGTGGCATGGGCACCTTGACCTACTTAGTTGTCTATGTGTTTAGCTAAAGATGCTGCTCAGTCCCAGGAGATAGATAAGGCTTGCAATCTGGCAATTGTAGCAAGAACGTGCAGGAATTCTCAAGGCCAAGATAGATATGACTCTTGTAACAATMCACTCCTAAATGTTCTTGGCAGAACTTAAATGTTCACTTGAATATGTGACTCCATTTAACCATTCTGATGAATCTAACAGAGGCTTTATTCCATCTGTCATATATAGCATTTGGTTACTGCACTTCAAAAACATCTAAGCAGCAGGATAAGGCTAATCTGTAATGTTGACCTCAATGATGACCTTCAAACTTCTAAAATCCAATAAACCATCACATTGTACTTAAGAAATCTGGGGGCTTCTTCTTTATTGCTCTTATTTATCCTTTCTATTTACAGCTGGATGTATTAGAGATCCTTAGGAATCTGCCTTCTAGTTCCATTTTATCAACTAAGATAAATTGGTCATTGAGTTAAGGCAGATCTGACTGTATTCTAAAGTTCAAGCGATGTCTCTGATCACTTAAGCTGTGCTAAACTCAGGGACAAATTCTTTTTTTTTTTTTTTTTAATGTGGTGCTAAGGTTCAAACCCAGTACTTAAACATGCTAGGCAAGCACTCTACCACTGAGCCACAACCCTAGCCCAAATTCTTATCACCTTTTCTACTTAACTGACTCCCATCATTAGGACTAATCACCAAGTGAACATACATGAGTTAGATATTCCTTTGGATAGTTTCTCCAAGTAACTGAAGTGGCCCTCCATCTTAGTCAGTTTTTTCATTGCTTTGACTAAATGATCTTACCAGAATAACTATAGAGGAAGAAGAGTTTATTTGAAGGAGGTTTTAGTCCATAGAAGTCTGGTTCCATTCCTCAGGGCTCAAGGTGAGGCTGAACATTATGGTAGAAGTGGGTGGCAGAGGAAAGCAGCTCACATCATGGTGACCAGGAGGCAGAGAGAAAGACTCCACTTTCCATATACAAATATGTGTGTGTGTGTGTGTGTGTGTGGATAGATAGATTGATTGATTGATTTATAGATTTATATACATACCAAAGCCACACCCTAATTCCAAACTCCTCTAGCCATACCCTACCACTTCAGTTACCACTATCAAATGATTAACTCACCGATTGGGTTAAGACTCTCACAACCCAATCATTTCTCCTGACTCTTCTTGCATTGTTTCRCATGTGGGCTTGTGGGAGACACATCACATCCAAACCATAACACCCTCTTTCAGAAGCTCTCCACAGTTGTGTAAGGGCTATGTGATCTACTCCAGCTGCCTTATACACTTGACAATCTCTTATGACCACACCAAAGGTTCAATCACTATAATATTGGAAGTAGAAAAACCAATGTCTCGCTTCCACATATAGTCCTAAATGCAAATAGAGTATCCCTAGAAAGAAAACGCTAGTTAAGATTTGGGGGTCCCTAATTGGGTCAACATGAGCAAGTCTGAGGGAACAAGGCTGACACTGTCTGCGTGGTGAGGAAAGTTAAAACAATCAGGACAGCCTCTAAAGCTATTTCCTGGTATTTGCCTCAATCCCCTCCCTAATTTCTCATTAACAGGCAATACTGTAGAGGAGGACCATTTATTTTCTAACTGACTATACAATCTGGTCAATGTGTTTACTACTAGTTCATACAGCCCTTCCTCAAATTCTGTTAGTTGGCTAACAAAGCCTTCATCTTTCCTTTTCCAAATAGCCATGTCTCTGCCTATCTCCATAACCAAAAACTTCCAAGAAACAAAGAGTTTGAAAGTAGTTCCAACCACAATGTCATCATTCAAGTATTAGACACAGATATCAGAGCAATAGCAGTGACTAGTAATATCAGTTAATATTTTTTTCCACCACTGCCCTATACTCTCATTACTAAATGAAGAGGGCCACATAATACATATATTTAGGTTGGATTCTATTATAGGAAAGGACCCCTAAATTTAGAGAACCTGACTTTTCAGTAATGAATACTAAGCATACCTGCTCTTTTTTCCAAGGAAAGTCATTTTCTCTAGCTTCTAAAGTTGTTCAATGTACAGTCAACCATGAAAAAAAAAAGGTTTTAGAACAAAAGGCAGTCAGTACTTTCAACTTCAAGATATTCAGAAATGGGGCTGGGGATGTGGCTCAAGCAGTAGCGCGCTCGCCTGGCATGCGTGCRGCCCGGGTTCGATCCCCAGCACCACATACCAACAAAGATGTTGTGTCCGCCGAGAACTAAAAAATAAATATTAAAAATTCTCTCTCTCTCTCTCCTCTCTCATTCTCTCTTTAAAAAAAAAAAAAAGATATTCAGAAATCTATGAAAAATTATCTTCCAACAAATACCTAYAGTTTATTAGTAGAAATGGCCAGAAACCCCTGATATTTATGAATTAATATCTACTTCATAGTTCACATGAATTAGGATTGTTTTCAGCTGCATATAAAAACCTATACAGTGGTTTAACTGAATTTTTGTTTGTTTGTTTCTTCTTCTTTTTTTCTCTCATATAACCAGAAGTCCAGAGATAAGAGATCCAGGTATGTTACAACTAAAAATGAGAAATAAGGTCATCAAGGACCCAGGTCTCTTTCATCATTTTCCACTGTCCTCATCCTTACTTTATATCTCATGGCCACAACATACGTATTCTAATTCCATCTGTATAGTTCTGGTAGTAAGTAGAGAGGAATGATGATCAGAATTGAAAGGAGTTAAAAAATATTGAGATAGGAAAGAAGAATTAAAATACAAACATAAGATGTTAAGGAGACACAAGTTGATATTTTCAACAGTGTGGGTGTAGAAATTTAGTAGAAAATTTGGGCAAATAGGTAGGAAGATCAAAGTGAGAATGTGTATTGAAGGTCATAGGCAAAGCATTAATCAATCAGCTAACAGGAATGTCTTGAAAGGTGTAATGTAACTGAGTAAGTTAGCAGATAAGCTATGGTTCAAAATACATTTTAATATCATAAGTAATTTGGAATCTTACAAAAAARCATAGTTCAGGGCTGGGGTTGTGGCTCAGCRGTAGTGCGCTCGCCTGGCACGTGTGAGACCCTAGGTTCAATCCTCAGCACCACAAAAAAAAAAAAAAAAGCATAATTCAAATAACACTATAAACTATAACCTTTCATTGTTGTAGTGTTCTTATTCAGATTTTTGAGTTATAATTTATAGTACTGCATAAAAATAGGCACCATGCTTACATGGAAGTCAGAATTCAATTTGAGGTCAGTTTCATTTGTCGTTACCATAGTGTGTCACTATACTTTTCTACCTTTTCCTTAAAATTGCTAAATAGAATTTCATACCAAGAATATAAATTTTCTTAGAGCAGATATAAACTTAATGAATAATTATTTTTTACCAGCTAAAAATTAAACTTCTGTTGTGGTTGTCAGCAGGGTGTAATTTTTAGCATAAGCTGAAGCAATCAGTTTCTAAAGAGCACTGTTTCTAAATAGTCTTATTAATATACCATTTTATTGAATAATTTCAAAGTAAACAGCTTCAAAATTAAAAATAACACATTACTATGAACAGATTAGGAATGATAGAAAATATTTTAAGGAAAGGACAATCTTCAACTATGTATCCTAAGAATTATCTCTGCTTTCAGCCTGTTTTCTTTTGCATATGGTCTAAAAATCATTATTTAAAAAGGGCTGATAGAGATGAGTTTAAATATGGTAAATGATGTTTGCAGTTTGTGGGTGGATTTTAATAGCTGAATCTACTTTTAATTCTGATAACCTAAGGTCCATTATAGATGGTTAGGAACATAAATCTTATGGCCAACTCTCCACACTTCTTCTCCAGTCCCAATTTCTAAGGTTAAAATAATGTACTTCTACGCATCTAAAGTGCTTAAATAATAAATAATATAGCAAGTTCYTCAACCAACCAAAAGATTTGTTATTAGGTGCTATGATGCAAACAATAATAATAGCTATTATTATTATTATTAAAAGCAATCAAAACCATTTCTTATATTTATATACTTGTTTAAAAAACACTCCATAATAATTTTAATGAGCTTCCTAATATTCATGTGAGAAATTACTCTTCATTTTACAGATAAAGCAATTCAGAAACAAAGTGTGACTTGCTGGAAGTTACAGGCACTAAGAAACAATTATATATGACAGACTTAGCTCCTACTTTTATGAAATACTGTTCTGGTTGGTCATTCTTAGTCAAGTTGTGGACAACTGTATAATTCTAAGTGCTGAGCTGGTAAAGCATAATGCTTTACTTCCATGGAAGGGTACAGAGAACAGCCTCACTGGGAGGAGAGAAGGGAGGTCTCCTGAAGGAAATAAGTTTTCTTCAGACTTTACTTTGTCAGCTCAGAGGGAAAAAAAATGAGTTTTTACTAAATTAACTTATTCTATTCTCTGAATCTTCCAGGTTGACTTTGGAACTGGTAAGAAAAAAACTTAGGAAGTCAATACCATGTAATTAACTTTTACCTCTAAGCCAGTGTTTCTTTCTGTGGTCCCTGTACCAAATGCAACAGTCACCTGGGGTCTCATTAAAGCTACAAACTTTGGGGAAGGAGAATGCAGCAAGAGCCACCCTGGACTGACTTATTCTAAATCTCTTGGGTTAAAGTCTATAAAAATTGCAGCCTTAAGTATGAACAGTTGAGGATTCAGAAATCGAAGAAAAAAATAATTTTTTTTTTTCCTGCTAGTGGCTCCAAATGGTTCTTGCTTCAAAAAGGCCTCTTTTGCAGGGTGAGGGGATGGAGAGGGAGAATGTGCAGGTAGGAAGAACTGTTAAATGATAGAATAAGAGTGCAGCATCTCAGATTGTCAGCCTCCRCTTCTCACCTTGAGGTGACTGGCTTAGGGGTGGAGCTTGATAAATGACTTACTGAACAYCAGCACACAGGTATTTGTAACTTCCAGGAGTTTTCAAAGTTCTTTCTCTTAGATTTCTATATTCCAGCGTCAATTTAGCAGCAGAAACAGTTACTGGGAGTAGCTAAGGTGTGTAGAGTTGGAAGAATGAGTTCAAACTTCTCAGACCACTATTTAGCATTTAAAAGAACCAAGTTCTTCCAAGGGTCCCCACCTACAAAGAAGGAATAGAAATAGCACATTACAGCATTGTTGGGTGCCTTAAATATGTATTTATTATAAATGGATATATCAATGAAACATTATAAATGCAAATGCTTAGAACCAAGCCTAATGCAAAAGTTCCATAAATGCTTATTCAAACCCAGACTTATCTGTAATAAGTCAGTAACTCGGAGCAATTATCAGCAAAAAAGAAAAAATAAATGAGAAAAGTAGGCAACCAGGTACTATGGCCATGAGCTGCACCCCCACCGGAGATGGGGGACGGTTCCGAAGCCCGAAAGCAGCTTGAGAATGGTTTCCCCCTGCCCGGSCGGCGGCACGTGGCTGGTTCCGGCGGGAGCTTCGCGACAGTGGGGGAGGGGAGCAGCGTGGGACGACACGGAGGGGGTCTAGACGGCCAAGGCTACAGTTAAGGAGACACCGACTGCGCAAGCTCAGCATAGGCGCATCCACTGTGCAAAGATCCGAGGGGGGAACGTCAACCCCGCTCCACKCTCCCTTTATCTATCAACGGAGCGAAAGCTTACCACTTTTCTCGTAAAAAGACAGTGTACCGTGCCGCCCTCCCCAGGTTGTTCATTGTTCAAAGAACTTTTGYCCCAGATCCGAAGCGGCCTCTTTCTCCAGCCATACTCCATCCTCCCCCGTCGAAGCCACAGTGGACGCATCCCGCCTCCCCTCGGCCTCCAGAGGTGGTTTGGCGGCCCCCTCCCCCTCCCCAGTGTCGCGAGTTGGCGCTGCTGCCACCCCCTTCTCCGCTCTCTCGGCCCCTAGGCCGGGCGGTACCGAACCCTCCCGGCGCCCCTCCTCTCCTCCCTCCGACCTGCCCTTCCCTGCGGGATTGCCACCCCCGCCCGCCCCCCAGCCCTTTTCTCCCCGCCGAGCGGCGGCAAYAGCAGCAGCAGCAGCAGGAGGAGGAGCCGGAGCCCAGAGGCTGCGGTGGCCCGGGAGCCCATGGCGTACAGTCAAGGAGGCGGCAAGAAGAAAGTCTGCTACTACTACGATGGTGAGAGTCCGGGCGAGCGGCAGGGTGGGCGGGCAGGGCAGAGGCGACTGGCCTGGAGCCGCGCGGGACCCCGCGGCTGCCGTCGCGAGTGGGTGCCGGTGCTGAGGGGTGGGAAGGAGGAGGGACCGACGCTTGGCCGCATCTTAACCCATTCCCCACCCGACTTGGTCAGTGGGAGATCCCCCTCCCGGAGCGGCTGCTGGGATCCTGCGGGCGGGAATAGGGGCGCCTGGCCTGCCGCCGCCTTTCCCTGCGGCGGTGCTGTAAGCCGGCCCGCAGCGCCCGACCGYGGGGTTGGCGTCGGCCTACCATGGCTTCGTGGTCGCGGGGAGAAGACGGCCTGCCCTCGCACCTCTCCCGGCCGCCTCCAGCGCAGGGCAGGTTTGGGAGTCCTCTTCGGCCTCATGTACCCGGATCCTTATCCATAGACTCAAAATTTCAGCCCCAGCCGCGACTACACAAAGCCCGATGGCCGGGAGAGCTCCGCCCCTTGGTACCTCTCCCCTCCCCCTTACCCCCTAGCTCCCCGGCTCCGAGCACTTCCCCARCCTTCTGTCTGCCCAGCATCGTCTTTCACCCTTCCAGCCTCACCCCGGTCACCGCCACCGGTCGGTGCTGGAGAGGAGTTACTGAGGGTGGGGGCCCAACTCCGGCGAGTGGCGCCCTCACACCCGTGTTTTCCATCCCTACCCTTTGTTCTCCTCGTTCTTTGAGCGCCACTTTCTCAGGATTCAAATGAAAGGGCTGCACTTCCTCGGTAACAATTAGGTTTGAGGTAGGTAGTCCCCAAGTGAAGTAAGAGACGGTGGTAGGGAAACCTGGAGCGGTTTCTGCTTGTGTGGTAGATCTGACTCGAAGGGTCCTGGCTTGCCTCTATGGGAGGTGGTTACCACCCACTTCTTTGTTGCTCTTTGTTCGATCAGGAAATATATACCCTGCTCTGTAGGTTTGGGAGAGCTTAGGCAAGGTGGTGGAAATCCTGGTGTAGGAAAACTTTTGAGAAGTAGTGTACAGGACTAAATAGTCTAATCAGGTAAGCTTGAACTCAAAATACAGTGAATTATAGCAGTCAGATAATTTTAATTTTGAGGGTTCTCAGTTGGAGTGTGAGCACTGAAATTTAAATTTCTGAAATTAAATTTGTGAAACCTGTTTCCTATATCAGCTTTAGTTATATACCAAGTGGAGTAGTAATCTGTTTCACAAATTTTATAGGACTAATAGATTACCCTTGAAAGGTGGAGTAAGGAAACTCAACAAAGAAGCTAGCTTGCCTTAATGACCTGATAATCCTGTCTGATTTTACAAAGCAATACAAATTTTGGAGGTCTTTCTGTCATTTGGTGTATTGGAATCACACATAAAAGAGAAATGGGTAGACCCTAGAGGATTAGGCCTAACTTTAACTTAAAAATGGTCATACCATCTCTTCTTTTGGCAATGATAGTCTTATGCCTATTTTCAAGCCACTGTGTCACTTATTGGAAAAACTAAAATCTTAACAACCCTGTTGTTGAAAATATTTTTTGAAAAGGCCATATATGTGTGTTAAATTGATTTGAAATCATACCAATGTAGAGGTGTAGAAATGGGAGACCATGTCAGTTTTTAACATGCATTTCATTGCATGTTTTGGATTAATGACAAACCTTTGCCTGCAGTCCCCCTGATCAAATTGGAAAGGAAATAACCTATATGTAACTTAAGTTTTAAAATTTATATTGTTTCTAAGGTTTAGAGATTTGTTTTTATTAAAGCTTGGTGTAAAGAAAAGAGGTTTAACAAAATGGGGAAATTAGTACTCAGGCTTTTTTTTTTTTTTTTTTTGGAATGCCAGTTACTGTTGGCAGTGATAGSCTCTGATGGGGTAAATTGCTTGTAACTTGTTATGAAGTTTGAATTGCAGAACTAGGAGGTATACCTGAGTAGCAGTTTTCTCTGTAGCTATTTCTTCCTGCTCCCATGTGTGGTGAGCCTTTATTGAGGGASAGTGACCAGGCACTGGTTCCAGGAATAGGATGCAGGCCAATGAACAGAGTGGAGATACTTTAAATGTTTTGTGATCWTAGTTGAATCAATATGTTAGGCCCATCAACGACTTTCCCTGATGGTCAGCAGCCAGATGTATAACTAACAATTTGGAAATCTCTGGTGGGTTATCTATTTCCTATCTTTGGTACTTCTTACTTATTTTTTTAAATTGGCTTTTCAGTTGTTTACACTTGGAATGTTGAGGTGGGGGGGGGCTAACAATTATTATTATTCAATTGAATAGGTGTAATCGTGCTAATTAATGTATGATAGCATACTAAACTATGTTCACTACCCMAAAACCCTACTTTCTTGGATTATAAAAGTAGCCATAATTTTTTTTTTTTTATTTTGAAAAAGATGCAAGAGGTTTTTATATCAAAGTAGTATACTTTCAGGTAAAGATGATTGGACTGAGAATAGGTAGTATCAGTAGTAATAGGGTCTGAATAATCTTGTATCCCAGATTAATTGGTTTTAACTTGTTGATAAAGGAAGAAGAAGAAAGGAGAAAAGGAGTGATGTAGTAAGTTCTGTAACTATAGGTTATGTATAGAATGTGGGAATAGAACTATTGGCTTTCTGGGGCTGGTRAGTACACTCTGAGCCTCTTGGCAACTCGGAGAATTGAGACTTTGTGCTTTTCAATAAAAGGGACTTATAAAAGTAGATGTATTCTCTCCATGATTTATAGTCTTCAGTATTGTACTCTATAAAACACTGAAATGCTGGTCCCAAGTRAACCTTCAGGTATTTGTGGATGATAGATCTTTGAACAAAAGTAAAGAGTTCATACTCTGGATATTGACTAATGCCTTCAGAGTTTCCAAGGGCACGTTTCTAAACTTTAGTCATCTTTTACACTATATTGATAATTTGCAAAATGATATGCCACTAATTAGATAGTCACTAAAATCCCTTTTGGCCTTAAAATGATGTGATTTTCATTTATTTAAATGTAATTGGCAAATGAAACTATGCTGGGTTCTAATTGTAATGTATTTTTAATACTTTAGGAATGTTRACTGTATTTTGTTTTGAATTAAGCTTAAGGCCTATCACATTTAGAGTTTTATGTTGTATGCAGTGTAGTAGGATTGATACCTATATAATTTATATAATTAAGCACAAATTGCTTTGTGCTTTTATTTTTTTCCTCTTATGGGGGTGCATAATCAAAATGTTTGGAAACAGATGATTCAGAGAAAAGCACTCAACACTATACAAAGATAGACTRTAACAATTACAAAGATCATACCTCCCAGTGTACTCCTGATTTACTCTAGCAGAGGACTTCTACTAGGCAGCCAGCTGTTGCCAGGGATTTTCTGACATTTTTACTTAAAACCCCTGCCAATGTTTTACTAGATTGCCTTTAATATAGCTGCATAGGGTCTTAGCTGTGCTACAAATCTTTATTTTCTATAAAATGGGTAATTGTTTCTTGAGGGCAAAAATGCTGAATGGACTATAGTAGTAGGTCATAAATTCTATTAATTGCACATAGTTATTAAATATAGTTAGAACTTTTTGAGATTTTCTAGGCTTGAATCTTCTTTCCCCAAATTCCTTTCTTCCTCACTTCCTTCAGTTTTCACTTCATCAGCAAATTATTACCTTTTTTCTTCCTGTTGCTTCTATGGCTTTAATTTTGTGTTTCCCCATTGTAATATAAGCTTTAAATTCTTATAACCATTGTGAGTTATGGATAGGTATTTTGTCGGTTTTATAGATGAAAACAGTAGTATTCCATCAGTCTACCACTTTATTTTTCTACATTGACTCTAATTACAATGTCCAAAAGATTAGCACCTGGAATCTGAAGACTTTTTCTTTTTGCAGTTTCTTCTGCAACAATAACAAAAATTAGTAATTATGTCTTTTTCTTCATAAAAACTTTTGATGGTGATAAATCCTTAATAGTTGGTGGGGGAATGATTATATGTTAAGAGGAAGATAAAAGTCTACATCTTAGTAATAAAGGAGACCTTTGATAGAGTAATTGGTCAGACCCRGAAAGACCTAAAGGAAGACAGTGGGCCAGAGTTTCTCCTTCAGTTAGAGCTTGGCATATCAAGGAGAAAACAGGCAAGAAGTCATGGGGAATTATGGGGTGCAGGGCTAGGCAGTAAATGGCCAGAGAAGACTTTGTGGTAAGAGATTTTTTGACTTTTATTCAAGGAGTGAGTGGGAGCTCTTGAAGTTTTTTAAATAGAGAGCATACCCCTAATGGGTAGATGGTAGGCTAGAAGCAAGAATTGAATACATGTTGGTCCACATAAAATATAGTGATATCTGAGAGTTTGGACAGTAAAACTAATAGAGCTTATTGATGGATTGGAAATAGGGCTGGAGCTAGGGAAATGGTGGTAAAGAGTAAAGGATAGCTCCTAAATTTCTGGATAGAGCAGTTAGGTGGGTCTTGGTACCACTAATTGAGATATTGGGAAGACTAATCCAGGGCTTTATTTTGAACATCTTATGTTTTGAGATCTGTATTTATTTCACATGAAAATAGCCTGGAACCCAGAGGGGAGAGACTAGTTGTAGAAATTTTGCATTTGATAGCTTATAAAATATTGAGGCTTTGAAAGAGACAGTGTAGGTAGACAAGAGGACCCAGAGCTCATTCTTCAGAGAKTTAGGGCAGAACTCATTCACTCATGTACCCAGGTTTCTGAACAGTGCCTGCCTGGCATATAGTAGGCTCTTGATTTGTTAAATGAAAGAGAGAACTTGAGAAAATCCTGGTATTTAAAAGTTTGTGGAAGCATGGACCTGAAGTAGGAATAAAATCAGAAAATGGTATTTTGGAAACACAGAATCAAGGTGTTTCAAGGAGGAGGGACCAGTTGTGCTAAGACTGATAGTGGACTAAGTATTGCGGAGCAGACAAAAATAATACAATAGTTTTTTGGTTTTTTTTTGGTTTTTTTTGTTTTTTTTTTTACTTGTTGCTCTGTGCACCCCCTACTCCCATCTTGGTTTTTTTTCAGTCAGTTACTTTCAGGAGTGGAGGCACATTTCACAGTCCTGAGTCCAAAAATGATCTAAAAATCTTTAGTTATTTTTTTGTAACACATTTGGAATCTAAAGCTTAACCTGAATTAATGTACTGCTATTGATGAAACTTGGAAAAGACATGTTATCTTTTTTTAAGAATTAGATGTTTATAAAACAGCCATCTTGGTAATTGAGGTGTGGCATTCAGCATGAAAAAGTTAGAACTGGTTCTTTCATAACTCCCTTTATTTTGGAGGAATTCTTGATGAAACAGTATTTGTAACTTGACATTTAAACTGTGTGTATTCTTGGTAGGATTAGAGTCTCTAAATTGGGTCAGAGAACCTTATTGGAAAATTTTGAGGACCCTGTTAGTAACAAATTACACTGAAGTAGGTAGTTTCTTTTCTTCATTTCTTTAAAGACCCAGAGTTTTGATTTTGGTG